TAGCTACTGTCACTTTTACTTCTTTTCTTTAAATAATAAAACTTTAAATTTTTTGAATCCAAAATTTATTATTATTATTTTTCTTTCATTAAATACACAAAGCCCTTTGTTCAATACAAGATAAGATACACACAATAATTTTAATCAAATGAGTAAATTGTCTAATAAACAAATTTAATAAAATAAGTTCTCTTCTTCTTTGGTAATAAATTTTAATAAAATTGTATGTTTATGATAAATAAATAATTTAATATGTGATATATCAGTAGGTACACCTTAAGAAATCTAAAATTCAAATTACCTTGGACCGCATTTCTGAACATCTTTGTCATCTGCGCCGAGGGGCTACTACTCTACAGCGCTCACATTTGCTGTGTGGCATATTAATTATGGAAAGAGTTTTTTGTGACTCAAGTAGAATAACTTTCATCTTAAAACCAAGCGGCTTCGTGTAAGAGGTTCCCAACTCAATATGTTCTTACTTCAGTTAAAATAAATAAAGAACAGAAGAAGAGTAAATAATAATTCTCTTTTATTTACTTATGTAATTTGCTTCTTCAATTTTCCAATTATGTTGGATTGTATTGTATGGATCAATTTTGGGTATTAATTTCAAAACAAATACAAAAAGAATTTTGGTTATAATAAATTATTATTTTTTCATTATTTATTTAACAACAAAAGAAATTATATACAAGTTATCCCAGTAAAAAATAATAGTATCAAATCGTTTTTTATGAGAAATATTGTTTACTAACCCCTTTGTGAAGAAATCGAAATAATTTTTAAAATTCTTTGAACAATATTTATAGATAATTATATTATCATTATACTTCTATTACGTACTACGCTTAGCTATAATTAATATAAAAAATTATAACATATATATATATATCCATCATTTAGCAATCTAAAAATATAACATACATGACCGAAAAGTATCTCTTTGAAGTCTTACAAAAATCTTTCGTTTTAATGAAATATATATCATAAACACAGTCAAATAAATATTAAATTTTATGGATTCATTAACTTTAAATTAAATTATTCATTTTTAAAATTCCATTAAATTTTGCTCTATTTATCTTAAAAGAATTTACTGCTTGAACACGACTTGGCTCAATAAGCGCACAACGTTGTTCTGGTATTTTTTTTGCTTTGCTAATTGCTGCCCAAATTATTTCATATTTCAAATGGATTATGCTGTTATAAAGTCATTAGCGTTTCATTTATTTGGTCATTACATACGTAAGTCGTTCAACCAACTCACCAACTCAAACTTAAATCTTAAAATGCTATTAAGTGAAAGATCTTGCAGTCAGTGACGACTGCTCTAAGGTGCGGAGGTGTGCGGTGAACACCCTAATATAATTTGCAAAATGTTAAATAACATAGGTATATAAATTTATTAAGTATCTTTACATCAAGAATTATTATTATTTATTACATTTCCATATAAATATATATTTTTAAAGTTTTAGCAAAAACAATTAAATATAATTGTCTATGAAAACTCAATTAATTTGCTTCTGTTAGCCGCTATACTTGTTAGTTGTGCTCATATATTTGCAGCTCAAATCACAGAACATTTCTATTATATTTCGTCTCTCCCCTTTGTGTGCAAAGAAGTTGGCCGCACATTCATACGTTACATATGAACAAAATAATGTGCGTGTGCTCCCGTTCGTAATATCAGAGATAGAGATTTATATAGTCGGAATTGTATGAGAGTAATTTTCTGTTCTATTCGAATATCAACTGTATGCATACGAATCCAACATGATGATTTGCCAAAGTGGTTGCATGAGCGGCTGAAGTTTGCAGCTCATCTCACCATACATTTCTATCACATTTCGTCTCTCCCCTTTTAACAGCAGCACCCACGAATTTCTGTTCTTATTGTGCGGGGTACTTGTGCGCACATTTATACGTTGCAAGTGGTTTCGATTTTGTTTGATCACTGCACAAACATGTATGTTTCTAAGTACAAACTCTTTTGTTTGAAAAAATTTGGTTTGATGTTACGAGAATTATGTGAAAAGTTTTGTTTCTTCCATATTGATATAATATTAAACTTGTATATAAATTATTAATTTAATTTGTTTAATATGTTATTTTGTTAATGAATTGTTAATATAATATTGCGCGAATATATTGTTGCCTTATATAATATAGTTATTATTATTAAAAGATCTCATATATTTTAATATAAATGGTACATGTAAAAACAACATTAAAGAAGGGCCGCACACCCTTCCAGATAGGGCACGCGTCGTCACTGCTTGCAGTTGACCAAGATCCTTAAAAGGGAGGCACATAATAAAGCAAATGAAATGGCGCTTTCATCTACTAACACGGTTTTCTAATCTCCATTGATCTATGAGTAAACCTACTATAAAACTGATATCTCTACTGGGTATCTCAATGACGGTATTGGAGAACGTGGGCAAATTGCATACAAATGCCTACGTATGGTTAAGTCTTCACATTATTTATTAAAAAGTTCAGCGGACGAAGAACTCAGTAACAGTTTGTATGATGTCAGTGATATACCCAGATTGTTTAGGTGGTCCAAATGATTTTCGCCGCCATAATTTTATTAAAAAATATATCAGGTACGAATGAGATATATTGCTTAATAGCTATTTATAGCTATCTTTTCTAAATTCACATTGTTTCAAAGTCGTAGATAGTAGATATTAACATTCCGAAACAAAATTAATATGTTCACAATACTATTTTACTTGGCTACTATTCTTTAAATAAAGATCTTAAATTAAAACAAAACTGAATTAACATTTTTTTACAACTCAATTGCCCTCTATCTGCAATCCTTAGCACCGCTTCCATCATTATTACTATGACATGTTCTATAAATTACAATTACAATTTAAGAACTTAGTCTATTCACATAAGCTTTCCAAATATTTCTATTACGCGCTAGTGCGCTGAGCTTGCTGAATGATTTGGACACCCATGTACTTTTTGGCCGTCCACGATTCCTTCTACCCTGTCGATTCCATTCTAATGCTGAATGTGTAATTTCACTAACTAGTTTACACAGGCTATGTCCCAGCCAGCCATATTTCTGCTTCATTATTTGCTTTTTAATCGGTTGCTAATTTGTAATTTACCGTATGGTTCTCGGCCACCAAATGTTTGGGATCTAGCGAAGGCGTCTGTTAACGTATGTCTGCAGTTTTTGTGATATCGCGGCCGTAACAATCCATGATTCAGATCCATATAACAACACACTTTTGATCCAGGCATCGAATATTGTAATAGTTTTTAAATGAAAGGTTGTTGAACGTCGTGTGTTTTTAAGATTAGCAAAGGCATATTTAGCTTTCCAAAGTCTTTTGGCTACGTCGTCTGAAGTACTACCTTCAATTGTTATAATGTTGCCGATGTATTCAAACTTTTTGACGTTTTCCACGATCGTATTACTTATTGTGAGCTGGACGCGTTGATGCGCATGGATTTTGTTTTAGTAATATTAGTGTTAAGACTCACTGTTGCACACTTAGTTGACAGATCTGTAATTTGGGCTTGTATATTAGCGTGCGTCAAGACGAATAATTTTTTCTTATTACCCAGCTAATTCCAAGTCGTTGTTCTCGCTCCAGAGTCCAGCAGCAGCTTCCATACAAATTATATTGGAAACGCACACGTATTTTATAATTTTAACTACGCATTTAGGATGGCAATTTTTTGTAAAATGAATAATAAATTATTTTACACGGCAAAGTGCTTGTGACAAAACTTAAAATTTGAACAGCGAAGCTTTGAAGCATAATTAGGAAAATATGTTCTGACCATATACTAGTTAATTGGACTTGACCATTTTGTTAGAGAAATTTTATCTCATGTGGTAAAAAAGAAGGCATGAGAACCAACATGTTGTATGGTTAAACAAACACGATGCGTCGAGTAAGAATATTTTGATCTTAGATTTAGTTAAAATCTGGTTAAATTAAATTATTTTTCTAGATGCAGTTTATCATCATTGAGTCAAAATTTGACAAATTCTATGTCTACAATTTATAGTCCATTAATTATATAATAAACCAAAGAAAAATTTCCAAAGACAATTTGTGATGGGTATATGGAATTTTTATTAATCAAATTAATTAATAATTTATATGCATCATCATTTAAAAAAATAACAATCGTATTTTTTATATTTTAGTTCATAATTCTGGGTGTGTTAATCTGTGGAACAGTCAATGGAAAACCAGCTGATTCCCGTGATGCTGTTGTTGAGTAAGTAAACAATATTTTCCATATAAAACGTTTTACATCAGAGCTTCAGCATAGTTCTTAATTTTACTAAATTCTACAACTATTTCTCATTGCTGTGACTATCTCTTTGAACCATTCTAAGTAAGTGCATGTAAAACTATAATCCAAACATAAAA